ACAAGTAGCCTAGAGTGTGTGGAAACACACAAAAACAACCAAAGAGTCACGTTCAAGGTGGTTACCAGGAGAGATGACTGATAAATTCGTGGAGAAATCTAAAAGCTCACTTCAATTCAAACTGAAGTATGCGCTGAAGATGTAGCCTAGCAAGTAGGGCAATGAAAGCTTCGCAAATTCAGACACTGAGATAGCATCTGATGGTCTATGGATACATAACACCAGTGTCATTTAATGAAAAAGACGAAGAATGGGTATAGTCTTGCTTTATTTCACAAATTTCTGCTGTCTTCTGACAGTTCCACATACACCCATGGATATGCATTAGACATAGGTTTGTTAAAACGGTATTTTCTAAGGAAATTAACGTGTACACAATAGATGGAGAATACTTGCATCGTAACATGCATTCGAGAACTTATTTTAGATGATCAGAACTGAGTTAAATCGGTTACACAACTGGCAAGCTCAGCTATGAACCAGCGAAACGGCCATCTGGCGTTTAGATCACATTGATCTAGCCAGCAGGTACTACTGTTTGATGATGCAAGTGATATTCATCTATTCATATCTTCATGCTATTCGACGAGTTATTCCACACGATAGTCAAATCACCACGTTTACTGAGAGGGGGGAGGCGGGAATATTAGAACTATTCAACTGCAGACTAAGCTCAACCAATCGAAAGTCAATTAGTCCAAAATACAAACATTGATAGAAAAATAGTTCTCAGAACTAATCACAACTAGACAATTGAAAATATTAGTCAGTCTTTATTGACCAATCACAACGGTTCATTTTAGAAAAAATCGATTTTTTTCACTAATTGGCCATTTCTAAATTACACGCATATTTTGTTGTTTTGTGGACTACTTTGTTTCATAGTCCTTCTTGTTGGTGTTAATCTACATTATTGGCTAATAAATCCCTTGGTGTTCATCAATTCTGTCTTAATCTTAGTTGTATAGATATCTATTCGCGTGTATGACTGATACATGAATCTGGTTGATGTATTCGTGAACATTGAACAACAAATTATAACATTTACATAATTTGTTTTAATCATTTAACTATCTTTTGGCGCTCAATATATATGTTTATATGTGTGCATTCAACATAGTCGTTCTTATGAATGTATAATTAAGTTGTTCAATGATTTTTTTAATTATTGATTATTCTCACCTACTTAGATTTTGTTTAAATTCACTCAGAAAATGAAGTAGTATCTTTTATTCTTATTAGTAGAACTACCAAATTAGCACTTTCAATAATGAAATCATTTCAGTGTGATAGGTATGATATTAGGTCATTCTAGAGGTGTGTATGTGTGTGAGGAAATGTGCACCAGTGTGCCTAGCTGAGTGTGTGCTCTCTGTGTTTACTCATAAATGAGAAAATAAAGACGTAATTAAAAAAAATAACAGGTGTCTCTGCCTCAAGTGAACTCATTCAAACTTATTAGTCAGAATATGTATATATCTCTTGAATTCAATGAGTAAATGAAATCATTGAAAGTGCTTAGTCAATTTAATTAACGTAAACAGAACATTGAACAAAAAGCTTAATTAAAACAAAAAATATTATTGATTGCATGAACAAGTGATTTTAATTATGAATAAATTAGTGACATCATTTATTGATCTAAGGTTTGTCAAATGGTGAGGGATCGGGTTCGTACACACTAAACGAAGTAGAAGCTTTCATAGTAACCTTGAACCTATTGTAAATACTAGTGTTTGAACACATTAAATCTCTAGTTAGAGTGTATTTCTTAAAAGCATCATTTGATTGGTATAAATTTTGACGAATTTTTTCAAAATGAAGGTGAAGACAGTTAAGAATAAATGATATTTGTTCGGCATTGATGCTATACAGCTCATTCGACCGACTGACTGACTGGCTTCAACACAGAACTCTGCAAAGATGTACAGCAGTTCGATTTCCCACTCTTCAACTAGCACACCAACCAAGAGACGAGGGTAAGGAGAGATAATAAACAGAAGTGTGATGGAAGACAATAATATTACGGAAAAACAACAGATTTTTATTGGATATGATAAATCACAAAGAGTGGATGCATCTGCACTAGCCATTGAGAATGATGAGTTTGAGCAATATCACCAACTGTCTGCAGCTATCCATTGGTTCTACCGCCCCGATGAATCCAACCAGACAGCAGTCTACACCTCCAAACGTAACTGGATTTCATTGACTGACGGAGACATGTTTTGGTTTGACCACCACTGGCTCTTTTCCAACCTGACCCTATGTCAGCTAACATTGCCCATTGTCGAGGAAGGCGATCGATGGCTAGGCATGCATGTGTAACACAAATCCTATCCATCTCAATCGATGTAAATTCACAACTTCATCGACTGATTTCCCCTCCTTACCTGGCACTGGACCGATGCATCACCTCAATATTACTCACCCTAATAAATCAGCTAGGATGATTGATAGAAGGGAAACATCTGTGATCAAAGACAGCAAGGCTTTTCGTGTCTTCAGCTTGTATTGGCCATTTCTCATAGCCATAAAGGAGGAAGGAACAAACTGCTGAGCAGTACAAATGTCCTTTGGTCGACACATTTCCCTTATTTCCCTTAGTAAATTTGACCAAAACAATGAAAGACACATTGAGCAGAAAAAAATGACCTCATTTAATATTTTGTTGGTTCTTGTCAGCCGCATAGACTCATTAACAGTCTGTTATCAGCAAACAACATATCCGATGATATTCCTGATTGCGGTTGACTGGATTGTGCGGAAAACTATGAGTGAAGAGAAGACAAGAATATTTTGGACCAATAAGAAGGCTTTATAGAACCTGAACTTCACGCATGATTTGTGTTTCATATCAAACAAACTCGAAGACCTACAGGCGAAAACCAACAACTTGGCAGAAGACAAGGCAGAAAAGACAAGACTTCAAGTAAGCAAAGAAAGGCGGATGTCATGAAGGCATCCACTGACCAACAACAAGCACCAGTCACTGTTAATGGAAGAAGTTCGGACGGGTTCACTTCCTTCACTTATTTGATCAGCATCTTTTCAACTGCAGGCGGTGGCAAGTATGAGGATGTCAAAGCTAGAATCGAAAAGGCAAGACGGACGTTACTATTATTATTCCCTTGCGTTCCGAGTGATGGAACAAAGGACTTCAATAACACATCTCCACTTTGTTCTGTTTTCTGCCATCCTCTTCAGCTGAGTTTACGATTGACCAAACTCTCTCATCTCCTCCCCCTCACACGATCTCCTCCATGTTACCCTCGCACCGACGACCCACACTTGCCTTCCCATTCGGATTCCACTCAAGCAACGGCCTGGCATGTGATGCCATTCGGTGGCCTCCTCAATGTATGCCCGATCTATCTCCACTTTCTCTCACATATTCGTTGAGCGATCGGCTCTTGCTTGTTGGTTTGTTCGCAGCCAAAGTTTCTTGTTGCTTATTCTTTCTGGCTGGCTATATGATCTTCAGTATGAAGCCAGCCAGCGAAGAGGCAGCTGTTGATGATTGTCTGCAGTAGCCTGTTGGAAATCCTTTTTGTGACACGATAACCAAGTTCTTGACCCATATAGAAGAACCAACTTGACATTGATGTTGAAAATGCGAATCTTGTTCCTTATGCTGGCTGAGTGTAGAAGATTTCCAGACTGGTTTCATGTTGATGAAGGCGTATCTTCACTTTTCGATTATGGCTTGCTGGCTTTGACATCTTCATGCGTTCTGATTTCCTGTAGTTGAAACGATGCTTCCCAAATAAGTCAAGGAACTAACCTCTGTTAAATCTCTCCCTTCGATGGTGATTGGCGCTGGTTGTTGTTGCTGTTGGTGGGTATCGGTTATCTTCATCACCTCCGTCTTCTCTATGTTCACCTGAATTCCTGTCTTCGCCGCCTGTCTCGCCTCTTCATCCAACTTATTGGTTTTCGCTTGCAATTCTTCGAGTTTGTTTGACATTAAACTTAAGTCGTCTATGAAATTCGTATCTTCTAAAGTCTTCTCATCGGTGGTACAGCGTATTCCTTTCTCCTCGCTCCCATTGCACAGTCTGACGCATAATCCAGTCCACCACAATCATCATCATCGGGGATAATAGGCGGCCAGCTTTTCTTACTCCTGTATTCACTTCGAACGCCTCTCTGAGTTTCCTGTTGTGGATCAATTGGCACGTGACATTGTCACATAGCCAGCTGTTGAATGGGATTGACAGAAACTTGAGGTATGCCATAAGGTCGAAGCAGTTTCCTAATAACTTCTCAGTCTACGCTGTCGAAGGACCTTTCGAAGTCAATGAATTTGAGGTAAAGGTTTAACTGTCGGACGGAGGTTTGACGTTACACTCAGCACCCAAGGGAATAATAATAAAAATATTCAAAATATTCAAATATTTTGGTTAGATTGATCATAAAAATGAGGGATAATATCACATGATGAAACAGCACAACAGAATGGAATAAAAGTCTTTGTTAATCTCGTTAGTGTGTATAGAAATAATCCAGGAATATTCCAGAATTACGAAAGAATGTTGTAAATTGGAAAGAGATGTAAAATCAAAAGTACACTTATATCAAGAATTTAAATTATTAAGTTTAATAGAGGTCTCAAAGGGATCCGGTCGAGATTGTAGATGAAAACAAAATCAAGGGTAAGAAAGAGCATAACAACCTGAAACTGTTTAGAGCCCTAACCTTACCCGATGTTATCCATGAAAATTTATTCATCTGAAGACTTCGGCTGTTGCTGTAAAAGGGAAATATTTCTGGATATACGCCCCACAGTTTTACTTATATTAGGATTTCAGTTTTTTTAAATTCTTAATCACAACAAAATAGTTCAAACTTAAATTCGTATAAAGTCACAAATTTGAAATTAAAATTCCCGCTCATTCACCATCAATTTTTGAACAAAATGTTACGTTAAATGTTCAATTCTTAATGTACATTTCTTTGTAAACTTGTTGATGTGTTTCTGAATTTGTATTTTCATTTAGATACATTGAATCTATAGTTGCAATAAAACGTATGATTAGTCTAGAAAAACAATACATGTCTGAGACAATCGCCTTAGTTAAAGAAGTTCAACAACCATCAAATCTTCCAAGTGGATCATTACTCAGTGTACCAATTACGAATACTCAATTATCGCAACAAAAGAAAACAACGGATATATCAAGTAAATGTTCAATTTTCTTTTTAAAAAAACAACAAAATTATAATTATTATTGTTCCCTTGGGTTCCTAGTGGAACATAGGGCTTCAACTGCACGCTTCCACTTGCTTCTGTCTTCTGCTGTACTTTTCACCTGCATCCATGTTAGTCCATACTGTTTCAGCTCCTCTTCACACGATCTCCTCCATGTCACTCTTGGACGTCCCACTCGCCACTTCCCTTTCGGGTTCCACTCGAGCGTTGGCCTGACGCGCGATGTCACCCAACGGTCTCCTCAGCGAGTGTCCAATCCATCTCCACTTTCTCCTGCATATTTGTTGAGCGATTATTTCTTGTTTTGTTTGTTCCCATAGTTTCTTGTTGGTGATTCTTTCCGGCCATCTGATCTTCGGTAAAGAACGAAGACAGCTGTTGATAAAGAGTGCAAGCAATCCTTTAGCAATATTCATACATGCAAGGTACCCGTAATTTGTTCAACTCCGAGAAATCAGATCCCATGTGAATCCAGTGTATCTACACTTCAAAGCAAAGTGTATACCCACCTTTGTGCAAAGTGGTTCAGACGGATTTAGCTCTATGTTACGCATCCACGAGCACTTACATCATATCTCAGATATGTAAACCTTTTGACCACTTCTAACCATTCACCTCCAAGTTAGGGTACTGCATAGGATCTTGTCACTCCTTTTACGGTACTCCATATTGAGATGCTATGAAATACCTACGATAATACCTACACAATATTCAGCGAAGAGACTCTTTTCAACAACGAATTTATTATCAAGCTGTATAATCGTACAGATATGGTTTTATATTAAGAAATTATATCCGGTGAGGGAATTGGAACAAAGGTGTGAATACATGAAATAATAATAATAGTAGTATGGAATGCAATCAGAATATTTGTGATTATAATCATAGTTTAATGTCAAGTAGCAAAACAATCAATGTCATATATAGAATAATACATAATGTGTATAGATGTTGGAAAGGGGTGCATAATTATAGGATTATTAGGCGAATATAAAATGTTACATAACACGGAGTAAAATTTGATAAGATAGAATTCAATATTGTAAAAATTAAAAATTAAAAAATTAATAATTTTGGGTTTAGAATGACAAGTGGAACAAGTGGAAACAATTCACAGTGAGAATAGTAATAATAATAATAATAATCATAGTAATAAGGGAAAGGTACATAGAATAACTAAATAAACAAAATAAATAACAATAAATAAATGTCTGTCCCTTATGGGTAAATTTTGTTTTGATAAAGTCTCACAGTGTTATACAGACACTGTGAGACTTTATCAAAACAAAATTTACCCATAATGGAATTACACTCTACCACAGTGCACAAGTTTTATTCTTATATAAATGTCTATCCCTCTACGGCCAAGACAAAAGTAGGGATTGTACATTCTTCTTTTGTACACAAAAAACCAACTGAACGTAAGAAAAATTAGGAAAGATAATATTACAGATTCATGAATTTATAGTCTCTACTGAAGGCCAGCCAGGGCAGTAGTAGATGCTGAACTTACTTCTTTCTCACACAAAGCACTGGTTGTTTCACACAAATTGAGATAGCCTCTGCTGTTTGGAGCATTCGGTACCTCAATGTTTTTGGCAATTTATTTGGCACCCGGAAGATTATAGAGAAGGATTCTTCAGTGCTGGCTGGCTGTGTGGGCGGTTGTCACCAGATGGTCCAATATCGAACTGTTAATGGTTTTCACTACACCTTTACTTAGCCATATCGGGAAATGTTCTCGAGTGAGCACGAAAAATCAAGTTCCTAGATCAACGGCCGACATAACTCTTTCCACAAGCTCAGTTGAATTGGAAGATACAATTTGAAGTGGCTAGTCTAGTCTAGGTACTTAATCTTTCTATCGAGGAATCATCACCATCGGTCGTGTAGAGAATAAGACGTGTAGTTTGCTAGCATTAAAAGTTCTTTGAACTGACTTTTTTTAACTTCTTCATAATTGTTTCACTTGGTATAGCGGTCTTGAGTTGCAGTCGTATATAAAGAGGCTTCTTGTTTACGGATAGTGAGTAATCCTTTTCTGCTTTCTTTGTCATGTGTTTCTTGGTACATTTGTCAGGATAGCTATTTTCGATCAAAGTATCATATACAAGGCTTAATTCATCTTCAATTGCTTCTTCTGAGAATATAGCTCTAACCCTGTGTGGCTGAGGGTCTTTACTAAATTTCTTTTGTACTTGAGAGGAACGAAGCTGTTTTGAATAGTCGTGATTGTTCATTTTATGTAAGTCTATATTCTGAGGTATTTTGCGAAGAGCTTCACCCACTATCCATTCAGCCTAGACACCCCATTTATAGGCTTAAGCCCCTTGCTTGTACACTTAACTAGCAAGAATTTTTATTTGACGCAAAAACGTATATTTGACTATATTGTGACTGCAAGGCTCTGAAGAGTAAACAGAAATCACCAGTTAATTCTCACAAAGATTGAACGTTGTAACTCAAGAACACTCAAATGATTGTTAATAATAATTCAGTCGAGTAAGGCCGCATTGCATGTAGTGCTATAGCTGAACTATTCTCTAGATTGCTTATCTTAATTGGATCAACCAATCTGGATTTGCTGCTAGATTTTTATGTTCGGCTAGTCTGACTGCCCCTGTTCTATTAGTTTGACCTATGTATTTGACCTGACGATCATTCCAGCAGGGTATTGGATAAATTAAATTGTTTTGTTTTATTGTCTCCAAAGGATTGATCCTTTGACCGACAAAGCTTGTTTCTAATTGAGTTTGTGGGTGACTGCATGCCAGCCACTTTTATTCCTGCCTTGTTAAGAATTTTGCGTAAGGTTTCTGAGGTTCCTTACTTGTATGGAATTACTACTGATGATTTAGATTCCTTATTGTTGGTGTCGTCACTAATACCATTATTATTATCACTATTATTATTATTATCATCATCACTATCGCTACTACCATTATTTATTTTATTTTTACATTTCCTTACATATTTCCTGATTAATTTATCCGGGTAATTATTAAGTTTCAAGGCTTCTTTTATGTGTATCAGTTCCTGTTTTAGATTTTCCTTGGTACTACTTAGTTTTTGTGCTCTGTCATTTCAATATTTCACCAGTCCTATTTTTACTGACAAAGGATGGGATGATAGGAAGACCAAATATCTGTTTGAATATGTGGGTTTCTTGTAAACACAGTAGTGTGTTTAAAGTCCCATCTTCTTTCCTTTTTACGCTGCAATCTAACATTGGGAGCTCCCTCTCCTTCCTGACTTTCCAATTCATAAAAGAATTGAATTGCCTCCACCTTTGAGTTAATGTGTTCGAAATATCTATCTAAATCCTGTGTTCTAAGTACAGTGAATGTGTCATCTACATACCTCCACCATACTTCGATGTGGGGATGAACGTTTCAATCACTAAGTTTTCCCACCTATCCATGAATATATCTGACAAGCTGAAACCTAAGGCGGCATTGGTTTTAGTGCTCAATGTATCAGCTAAGACACTAGCTAGGCCAGACAATGATTATACAGAGCCGTCGAGCAAGCTCAAATGGAATTCGCATCAGGGGCTTAAAGACAGAAGATCTATCCAGAGAACTTATATACCGGTATCTGTGATACATCAGACATCCATAGCGGAGCTTTACAGCCTGCCACTTGTCACAGATAGAACATACTTCCGAACAGTGACAAGCGATAGTTGATGACTAACAGTGGAATCCAGGATAACGTGCATTTCGTCCCATCCGGGGCCCGTCATCCGGATGTGCCTGCACCCCTCAATGATTGATGGTGTTTCCACTGAGGTTCGAACCCAGTGTCTACCGTTTCAAACGCCAAAGCGTTATCCACTAGACCAATTAGGCCCCCTTTTGTGGAGTGAGGAAACATCAGGTGCTTTTCTCCCATGGTTAAAGAAAACCAAAATAATTTTATCGTGCATTTGTTCCTTTTAGACATTTTAATCCATGTGCCTCACTGCCACGAAATTAGGATTTTCTAACACTCTAAAGTAGACCCTCTTTATCCACAAGTCCATTGAGTTGAATCACATAAACACATCCACTGTTGTTTTTTTTCATCCTTCACGTTCCCCAGTGGAACATATGGCTTCAACCTAGTGGCTTGAAGTTTCTGTAGCAGTGTTTATTTTACAGGATGGGGTTGCTAGCCTCGTGCCCAACCTTTCCTCTTCACCAGCATTATTTCTGGCTTAGCGAGATAAAGGAGTGCCTTGTCGGCCGGGGATCGAACCCTGGACCATGTGCATGGTCGGCGAGCCTTCTAACCGCTATACCACCGACGCAATTCACTGTTTTACCTTCGTATTATTATCGTCCGCCGATAGAATGCCCGTGAATAAGGCTTATCTATTAAAGGTAGTGAAAGCATGGTTACATGAGACTATAATAATAATAATAATAGTAATAATAATAATAATCTACTTTATTCCAAAAACAGTACTACTTATAATACAGAATGGAATTCTCAGCATTTGTCATAATATTGCATCTGATTTGCTCAAAATATAAATAAAATTAAAAATTAAAACAAAATTAACCAGAGGAATTTGTCAACGTTTACGATATAAAGTCAAAAATATTCGAAGTACGAATTGAGAATAATAACTCTGATAATAATAATAATAATCATAATAATAATAACAGTAAGTTTGTTTCAAAAAGTATTGTCGATTCAGTTTGGAAATTTCAGCATGTTATAGATTATTGAATCTAATGTTCTGTTGATATAGCAGTATGGTGAGGGGATATACAAAATTAACAGTTATAACGCAGCTTAAATGATGTTCACACTTATGAAAAAATAAACAAATAAAAACAAAAAATTGAGAGGATTGCAAATATAAGAAGAACAATAAGAATAAAGCTTGATGTTGTAAGGGTGAAGGAAATAGTTTATTTAGTAGTGTAAAGAAGGTTAGTTAGTTCATACCTGACACTATTTTCATCACATAAAGTATGTGCCAAATATCGTATATTGGAAATTTTATACTTAGACGTACGTGCATAAAGTCTTCTGAAAAGAATTCTTGTTTCACGTGAGGGGGAGATGCAAGGTTGGAGCTGCTGGTAGAGTGGGTGCTCATAGTCTGACAAAATTCCTTTAGCAAATTTATTGCATGACATCAAGTGCCTATCAGTGACAATGTCAACGATATGGCCCAATGGGATACCACTCGCTCTGCTGACATTCTTCAGAGTCCTACGAAGTATGACATAGTCTTTTTTTTAAGCAATCCAGGAAAGAATAAGGGTGAACAGTAAAGAAGAATAGGTAAAATACACGAGTTGACAAACTGTAAGAGGAGGGGTTGGGTTATGCCTAACTGCCTTAACTTCTTAATGTAAAACGACGTTAGACAAAATATTTTTTTAGAAATCGCCAAGACATGGGAAGACCAGGATAGGTCAGAAGGAAGAATTAATCCAAGATACTTAACATCAGACTTGATTTCGATATCGCTATCATCAATTTTGCAAAGGTCGTAGGAACCAACGGTTTCATTTAACTTTCTTTTACATCGGAAACTGAAACTAACAGTCTGACCATTGGAGGGATTTAGTCTAAAAGACCATTAGACGAAGACCATTTGCTAACTCCTGATAGAAAGCTATTCATCTTAGTACAGTCTAGTTGAGCTAAGCAAGTAGACTACTAAAGGATTTCTGCTGAAATGAATTGTCAAGTGACTGTCAAGTTTTTCCTCATACTCTGTTATTAGCAAACTGATGTTGAAAGGGATAAGAAATGACAGTGAATCAAATCCAGGTTCCACGGTTGATCTTTCTTTTTTGGCGTCTAGACATTTTCACTAATTCTGAAGAATTTTCATTCAGAAATCTGTAAAACACAAAATAATTGATCAAAGAATATCCTTTCCGATAATTTCCTCCTCTTCTGGCTCTACAATTATATACGTATATGTTTATGCACACAGAATATTCTAGAACAGTAGTCAATAACAATATTGGTGTGCTTTTTAAATAATATCGATTTGTAAAGTAAGATCACAATGGAATCACCACAGTTCATTAAAGATGCTTAAGTTATAATAATAATAATAATAATAATAATAAAGATATAATAGCAAATAGAATATCAACTAAAATTAGGAAAATTCCACAAAAATTGAGGATCATTCAAACCTATATGGCCAAGGTAAGGATAATGTCTAAACTAGCTTCTTTTGGATGCACAAATTAGGCTTCTTAATGTGGATCCCAACAGCCAGCCTCAGCAATATTTAGAAGTCGAACTCTTCAGGCAAAATTGAGATTCGTAGGTATTCGGTAAATGACCCTGAAAGCACGGTTAACATTAATCTTGTGTTATTTATTATGTATTAATTTATTTATTAGTGTCATAAAAGTTCCGTCTACTAAACATCGAATTACCGCTTCTAATTCTACAGGTAATCCTTCACGAATGAGACATTTGGATGCAGGACTTCAACGTGTTCGACGTATACGACGTCAATTCTGTCGTACAGAACATGATGCAGCCTATGTAGCATTGGCCAGTGGTGTTGTTGGTGCTGGACCATATGCTATAGCTCAAGGGATACTGTTCTATCGAAGATATACAATGAAATTTATGATGACATTAGATACTAGTAAGTATAGGAATGTATAATATGTGTATATGTGTAAAACTTGGGCACTGTGGTGGTAGTAAGTAATTGCATATTAGTTTGTTTATTAGATGGATATATCACACAGTGAGTGAAACAGTATTAATTATTTACTGGATGACAAAGTTTCGAACAAAATTTATTGCGGTTCATAATCATTTCATTAATTATAATCACACAACTTCGAAACTTGAGTTTTATAGTTTCCTTTGTTCTCTTCTACTTGTCGTCGCAGGGGTAGTAGAATTCTCCAGATATCTGGGACAAGTGTTGAATCATTCCTATTAAACGTGTTGGTTTGCAGTTGATTCGATAAACAAAGCTTCTGTTATCAATCTTTCCATCCACTGTGGTGTTACATTAGATTTTAAAACTGTCATCTCATCTTATCCCATCCTATTGTATGGTTGTGTGTAATTGCATGTAATGAGTGGTATAGCTGAACTATTCTCTAGATTGCTTATCTTATTCGGATCAACTAATCTAGATTTTGCTGCTAGGTTTTTATGTTCGGCTAGTCTGACTGACTGTCCCTGTTCTACTAGATTGACCTATGTATTTGACCTCACTGACAATCATTGCAGACAGGGTATTAGATAAACACTAAATTGTTTTGTGTGGTCGTATTATTATTACATGTTTCAGAGGGTTTAAGTAACCTTTGGACAATGTGATCATAAGGTGAATGCATGAATTGTAGAATAGTACGAAGAAGCAGGTCTTTCTTTTGTGCCTTCAGCAATCCATTCGGTCGGAACTTGTAGTTTCAGGGATTCGAACATTTCAGCTTCAGTTTATACAGGATGTCCGCTAATTTGTTTTGTTCAGTCTTCTCTGTGATAAGTTTTGTAAATTTTAGATTCTTCAGATAGAACTGTTAACATTTTAATGGTGTAGTCCTTACGATTCGTCGATACAGCCCCTGAACTTTTGTCGCGGAGTATCAACATAATCTCTTTAGGCTGTTTGTAATTCTTTTTCGGTTATGATGAACTGGCCGTTTTGGTTTAGTATCTACAAACTTGTGTCAAGGATTTCTCATCTGAATTGTTGTAGACGTTTTTCATATGTTGGTGTTTGATTTCTTAGGTTTTCTTACTGAACCTAAAACTGAAGCTCCCGGATATATTTGGGGATGCTTTCCAGGATTTTGCGCCTATAGATAATGTGCCTAACAGAATTTGCCTTGGAACTTGAAGATAGTAGATGTGAGGCATAACTGGATCCCTAAAATAATTTCTTCAATGGGCAGCTTTGTCCTATGACTAAGTTCGGAATCAGAAGTTAGTTCTCTTTTAACCGCTTCTAAAGCCATATTGACTGGTACATTAGTGTAAAGACTAGTTATATCAAAACTGACCATTGTTTCATCATTCTCTAGTTGAATGTCATTTAGTTTACTTTTCATCTCATATGAATTAGTTAATCTAGAGTTTGAATGATTTCTGATAGGGCATAGTATTAAAGCTAAGTGTTTTGATAATTCATAAGTTGGGGTATTTCTAAAACCTACTATTGGCCTTATTGGGTATCCTGGCTTATGTATTTTAATAGTACCATATAATCTACTAGCATTATTAGTTTTAGGCATTAAGTTAAACCATTTAGACTCACCCAGAGACAGCTTCATTCTATGTATTAGTTCTGTTGAAGATTTCTTAACCTTATTCATTATTGTATCTACAGGCTTCTTAATTTCCTCATATGGACCCATTTCAATATGTTCAGTGACTTTCTTGATGTAGTCAGATTTATTCAAAACAACGGTGGCGTTTCCTTTATCAGCTTTTTCAATGACAATATTTTTATTCTGTTTTAGACTAATTAAAGCTTCTCTTTCCAATTTTGTTAAGTTTGATTTTGCCTTCTTTTGATTTTTCAGGGTTAATGCACATTGTGCTCGAACCTCTTCTGCTGTTGTCTTATCTATTGAACCTAGTGCTACTTCTATGTTAGGAATGACATCCTCTGGTTTTAAAATTAAAACTGTTATATTTAAATTCAGTCCTTTCTCAAGTACTTTTATCTCACTAGAGCTTAGTTCCTCTCATCAAAGGAACTATGCCTAACAGAATCGTTGATAGCTCGATTTTTGAGTACGTATTTTTCTGGATTGCTCACCTTCAGGCTTTTAAGTAGGTCTGAATTTGTCTTACCACATCACCTCATAGTTTCTTTGACATGTCCTTCAAAGGATTGGCATAGTTCTTAATATAAATCGTGAACAAAGTGAATTCATAAGTAGACATTACGTTCTAGGTCGACAACACATGATTGGATAGAATCTGTGCTGTTTAATGTGTGTGACCCTTGAATGTTCTAGTATTTGTTTGAATGTGGTTGCATCTTAGTGATTTCCAGCACTCTTCTGGCTATTCATGTCTATGTAAACAGTTCCTGAAAAAAATCTTTGCCTTTGGTCATGAAAGCTCGATGGAGTATCGCAGGAAACCGTTCAGCTTCTTCAAAGTCTTCAGTTCCCTACAGCGTTTAAGTAACTAGAGGATCCCAACTTAGGTTATATAAAAGAATAGGGAGGCGCTCAGCAAAGAGTTATTATCTTTTCAACGACATGCATCGCTGATCTTATAGTTGCACTGCTCAATGGTTAGTGAAGCTGGTGGAACCAATCAGAAGGCAGGTTTCTTGTCATTTACCTAGAGATTCTTTTGACTTTGTTATTATTCTCATTTATTGATTAATATAGTTGCGAGATTCCTTTAAATGATGGATATCTTTAAGAGATTTTAAGAAATCTCGAAAAAAAGTACTGAAAAGCCATATATGAAGGTGTTTTTAACCATACATTTAACTCTCCTAAGAGATGTTTAAAGTTTTTTACAAATCAAGACTGATCACTAACCACCTTCAACTGAGTAAGAACCGACTCGTAAATATGAAGCTACTGGTTGTGCTATTGGTGCGCTACACTATATCAGCCTTCCTAAGCCTAGTATGCTTAATTGCCTACTGATAACAAAACACAAATCAAAAAGACTAATTTATTTGCCTTCCGAGAGGAACAAAAGGTTTCAACAACACATCTCCACTTGGTTCTGTTTTCTACCGTCCTCTTCAGCTGAGTCCACGATTGACCAAACTCTCTCATCTCCTCCTTCTAATGCGATCTCCTTCATGTCACCCTTGCACCGACGACCCACTTTTTGCTTCCCATTTAGATTCTCCTCGAGCGATGGCCTGGCGTGCGATGTTATTCAGCGGCCTCCTCAAGGTATGCCCGATCCACCCATATCCACTTTATCCTTCTTGTTTGTTGAGCGATCGGCTCTTGCTTATTGGTTTGTTCCCAACTGGAGTTTCTTGTTGCTTATTCTTTCTGGCCGGCCATTCGATCTTCAATATGGAGCCAGCCAGCGAAGGTGGCAGCTGTTGATGACTGTCTGCAACAGGCTGTTGGAAATCCTTTTCATGACATGTAAGGCAAGTTTCTGACTTGTATAGAAGCATTGACCGACTTGACATTTGTGTTGAAAATGCGAATCTTGTTCCTTATGCTACCTGAGTGTAGAAGATTTCCAAACTGATCTTAGGTTGATGAAGGCGAATCTAGACTTTCCAATTCTGACTTTGACATCTTCGTCCATTCCGCCTCTGGTTTAAGCGATGCTTCCCAGACAAGTGGAGGAGGGAACCTCTATTAAATGTCTCCCGTCGATGGTGACTGATGCTGGTTGTTGTTGCTGTTGGTTGGTTGGCTGGTTATCTTCATCATCTCCGTCTTCTCTATGTTCACCTGGAGTCAGTCCTGTTTTCGCTGCCTCTTCAGCCAGTTGGTTGGTTTTTGCCTGCCTGTCTGCAAGTCTTCGAGTTTGTGTGACATTAGGTAACCTAATAACCATGAGAGCAATAATAACAACATCTTTATTTTGAAACGTTCATCTTAAGCATAGTACAGAATCGTTAGTTTGTTTTATTGCCAGGTATTTACTTCTTGTACAAGATCTGGTCGATAATGCATCACTTGATGCAATATCGTTCCATTCAAAGCATGCCCAACTACTTTGAGGAGTTCTACTTCAATTTCGTTCAAAATATTCACAGCAGTAGGTTGAAACCCTTTTGAAAAAATTTCCAAAGTGTAGGTTAAGGTTAATGAACTCAATTGGATGACTGGAACAATATGAAATACAATAAATTTGATGCGTTTTATTGGATGGGAAAAATGTGAGAGTCCAGTGATTTATTATTATTATTATTGTTTCCTTTAGTTCCTCGAGGAACATAGGGCTTTAGCCGCACGTCTAGACTGCGTTCAGTACTCTTCCAACGTTTTCACCTGGCTCCAAGTCTGCCCACATCCTCTCATCTCCTCTTCACATCACCTCCTCCTACATGTCACTCTCGCACTGACGACCAACTGACTCACCGCTTCCCATTCAGTCGGGTTCCACTCGAGCGATGGCCTGGCATGTGATGTCACTCACTTGATGGTTTGTTTTCTCAGAGTATGGCCAGCCAATCCACCTCCATTTCTTCCAGCAGATTTGTTGTACAATTAGTTCCTTCTGGGTTGGTCCGTTGGTTCATTGCCAGAGATCTCTTCCTGCTGCTGATGTTTTCTGGCTGGTCATCTGATCTTGAGTAGTATTGAGCGAAGACAGCTAGCTGTTGATGAAGGTGTGTAGTTTGTTCGAAGTGCCCTTCGTGACGCCGCGTGGTGCCAAGTCTCTGATGCGTATAGTAAGTAGCACTGACTGACTTCACATAGGAGTTGAAAATCCGGATCTTATTTTTCATGCTGACTAGTGCTTTTGACCTCCACGCAGACTTGTGAGAAATGAAAGCTAGCTTTGCTTTCTCGATCATCACCTTGATATCCTCGTCTATAGAATTACCTAATAAATAAATTTAAAAAATGAACATTCATTGTGTATCTCAGATAAATCGATGATTTAGCTATCAGGTCACTGCTAGGACTAATTTAAGCTGATATTTTTCGCTTTACATAATATTTGTTTAAA